ATCAACCTCGTCCAAGTTCAAGCAAAGAAAACAACGATTGCACTATGCCGAGGTTTAGAGATAGCCGTACATGGCGAATTTACAAATTGGTATAAAAGTTTGGAAGACAGCCGAATAAGATGCACTGGTTGCTACATGGAACATCCGAAGAACAAGTCAGCGCTTACAAATCGTGTCAAAAAGGTCTCGTCAAAATGCATCGATTCTCACGAAAATTTCGTGTTGATTGCTTTCCTAAACCACTACACATAGTATGTATAATTGACTAGCTGATAATACTTGATTTTGCTCCTTTTAATATTGCCTTTACATGAACTATTGTTCTCTCTCATAACTATAGTTTTGGACCACAAGGCCTCAAGATTCTGTAGAAGGCCGTGAGCCTGGCTGATACTTGGAAGCGTCAAGAAATTCAAAAACATAAGATATGTATAATGAGCTATCTAAATAACATCACGCCCCGCCGACGCCACACGGTCGCAGGAGTACTATATGGCATGGCCCGTGGCGATTGTCGTCGATGGCTTAACTATTTGAGCTATTTGAGACGAGCGTGTATTGACAAACAGTCACCCAAAAACACATAATTGTGCGCTCCGCAAACAGACATTTCTCGCACTGAAGTTCTCCTAACAGATTTGTATGTTGCTCTGCTACCTACAAACAGCAAGCGAGTCCGGCTCAAATTCAACTACATTTCACTCTAATCGTATGCAGCAGTCCGTCATATGCAGATTTTGCTTGTGAACTATCACCGTCAATTCTCTTCATTCCGTTCGACGTTTCAGTTGGGCATTTTAAAGCTCACCCTTGCAATAGCCTCTCTAACAGCTTCATGATATGACACCGGTGATGAATCCTTGCTAATTTGCAGCATGGGGTAGTTGACTTGGATCCTCATCACTTCTCCAACTAGCTTGACCTCTTCTGAAAAATGAACATCTGAACATCATCTCATAAAAGACAATAGAGTCGACAGAAAGAAAAAAAATTGACTAATACCGATGAAGAGGCTAGAAAGGCGATCCCCCTCTGCAGTGTTCGGTGCCACTACAACCCAATTTCGAAGTGTCACGCCGCGGAAATTTCCATTATTTCGCACACTTTTCGCCCATTCAGCCCGGAGTCCTGTGTAACCTTCTGGCTGTAGGCCGAAAAGCTGTTAAAAAAGGCAATTAAAATTGCAATAACACTGTTCGCTGACCTACTGACCAATGAGGTCATATAATACAAACTGTCAACTGTAATGAACACACCCTTTCTGGATTGAGTTCCCTAGACTTGAATGAGACGAGCCGTCTGTCCAGATGTATACCCCAGCGTTCCAGCAATGCACAACACTTCTCATTGTGGTGGATCATTGAAAGCAGCCTCTCCGTCGTCTGACGCCTCTTTTCAGGATCTAACCTTGTGTGCTTTGACAGCTCCCTCATGTGCCGGAAGTCTTTACGCATAGCATCGGTGAGGCCAGTTGGGTAACATAATTCCGGCAGTAAATAGGCATACTGCGGTGCACCATTTGGCTGCTTGATCTTCCCTTCGCTAACCTACGAAAAATGGCGAACAGTGTTAAATTATTGACAGGTCCTGCAGCATTAGAAAATGATGACCATTCCTTGTTACGAAATCCTATCCAATTATCAGCAACTTACTAACACTGGTTGACGATTGGCCCTGATGATCAGGCTGTATTGCTTTTCGAAATAATTTTTCAGTGTAGTCAACGAACCATTATTTAGAGTGAATGTCGAGTCCGGTGTCATGTTGTAATCAATACCAGCCACTCGATACATTTTATTGTTGTAACTAAAAGTAGCCAGAGTCAAGCAAAATGACAACATCTTACCATATATAAAGCGTTCGCGGTGTCGTCTGTCTGTCCGTTTCTTTGTCTGTGGGTACGGAAATTTGATACTAGTTGAAGAAGCACCTGCAGAATTCGGATCGACTTTGAGATGGGTTGGGTATATAACAAGATCAACAGAGCACATGTGAGCTCTGCGAAGCTCCGCCCACACGGGGCGGACAGAGCAGTGAGCAGTGTCTTGGTCGGAATGTTTGAATTAGGTTTCCCAAAAGCCCAGGCGCCGGGAAGAAATGAGCGATTTTGAGGGATGGGTCAACAACTTAAAGGAACGGTTCATGCTAAAAAAGGTTGAGTTCTTCTTTTAGTATCAGCGCCCACCATAGGTGGTAACAGGGACCCTCTCGCTCCCACAATCTCGGCGCTTAGGGCATAGTGGAAACCCTGTTGCTGCCGTCATTGGCTTTAACACCCCTCGATCAATGTCAAGTTAGACGAGTGTCGAGGCAATACAGATTGCAACTATTCGTTCCGGGACCCACACACAATCAGCTGATCGCCGAGTGATAAGGCGATGTTTTTCTCAAATTCATTTTCCGTCTGTTATTCTTTTTGCTGCCGTGATCCCCTAGTTAATCTCCTACTCCTAGAGGCTGAAAAAGGTGAGCTACTTTTGCTGTTACTAGGGCATTTGTTTACTTATGCCTATAAGTGAATGAATTTTTGCTTACCGTGGTCTGTTATTCGCACCAGGACCCACACGCACGCGGTGAGACACATTGTATAGCTCGTCCGAACGCCCACTCTTCTTCATTTTTCTGGTCTCATTCTCGTCCAGCCCCTTTTTAACGGTTTTTCGAAGCCTATTCTTTACTTTGGAAACACCGATTCACGCAGTTTCTTCACCTTCACTGCATTATTTTCGATCTTGTCTTCCATTTTTCATCATAATCTGGATTACCCAAAATTATCGTGAACTGTGCCTTTAACCGAATGAAACTCATTGGCAGTGGACGGAGCGTCATCGTAGTGGGCGGTACTTACCACAGAATATCATAACATGACTCAACGGAAGCATGGAGTCTACAAAAAATAACGAAGTGGACAAGGCTTCGTTCGTGCTGGCCATACGTAAACATGTCGATGCTCCGCTCACAATGGATGGGGCGTGCATTCAAATGTTAGATCCTTTTTGAAAACATAACTTTGTTTAAAAGCGTTCCTTTTCGTGGAAGGTAAGTGGTCATAGGCTACAGAAGAAAAAGTGGCCAAATCCCCGAAGTGGGCGCGGCCTGCACTAGTTTGGGCGGGGTTTAAGAACGAGTGGCCGGAGTAAAGGAAAAATGTGGCCAAGTCCCTGGAGTGAGCTTGCGCTGAAGTGGGCGGGGCTTAGGTCAAACACTCACAAATCTGTTCGAAAACGTCTTAGAACGCAGGAAAAGAGCGGTTGGAGGTAATTGAAGGATTGTACCCAAATCCCTGGAATTGGCGAGGTTTGCACTAACAAGGGAAGGATACTTGGTCGCAGTGGCCATTCAAGATGAGATGTATACCCCCGTAGGTGGTTTCGAACGCTGATCT